TTTTTATGATTTTCCCCAAAACCGAAAGGCCCAAAACCACTTGTCCTGAGCGGCAGAATGCGTTGATGAGAATACTCAAAGTGTAGTCGTCATGTGAAACCCGGAGCAATTCCATTCTCTTGCAGAGAGAAATCACAACATCATACTGTTTCATTTTGGCGATTGCAGCCAGTAATTTATTAAAATCGACAATGGAAGGCAAGGGACGAGACCGAACCATGTGGTCGAACAAAGCGACAGCCTCATCTACATTACTACAACCATGAAACCCAAATCTCAATCTGTCTCTGTAGTCAACACCAGAAGAAGCCAGTCTCCGACAACTTAAAACATAGGAACGATCTGAGAAAGTGTTAAGAGTACCTCTTCGAAGGCGTTGATGAGTCTGAACCAAACTGGAAGCAGAAGCCGATGTGAAAGCGGCCATAGTCCGGACCATTCTCGACATCTCAGCTTCAATTCGTAGACGGAATGAGAAATCGGGTAGATTGCAATTTCGGCTTCTTCTGTAAAACCCTGGGTGGAAGCGGCGGTCACAGCGAAAACTCTTGATGGAGAAAAGCAAATTCTTCCTCTTTTTTTTTTTAAAAAAACAAATCATAGGAAAAACTGTAAAATGGACGACCAGATTGAAACATATTTTTTTTTTTTGTCGATCATTTTGATGACAAATATTTATAAATATAATTAGATAAAATATAGAGAAATCCAATTACAGGGCAACGGCCAAATTAGGAGAATTGTAGATTGAATCTATAAAAACTATATATACTTTTTCTAAAACTAAATTAATCAAAATCAAAATTAATAAAAATTTCCTGAAAAAACGAATATAAAAATATTTGTTTGGTAAAAAAACATAAAAATAGTCTTTAAAAAAACCGTTTTTTTCTGAAAATTGGATCCTTATAAAACGCAAATCGATATTTAAAAATACAAACAAACATATACTCAATATATGAAATCATAAATAAACAAACGTTATGGGAAATTGAAATGATAATTCCAAAGTGGTTCTGATGTAAATTTAAACAGCTAAAAAGGCCTAAACTCAGAACATAAGAAGAACTCACCTCGTTGTCATACGACTTCCATGACTGAAAGCAACCTCCGCATTACAGCTCATCGAGAAAGAAGAACCAAAAAACTTTTCTCCAATCTCCCGTCCGATAGCATATCAACAACCATTTCCATTGTTGAAACATCTGAAGAAAAACCGCAGCTTCTCATTTCCCGAATGAGCTCGATAACCGTTGCTACATGGCCACCTTTGAGATGACCTCGGATCAGTACATTATACGTACAATCATCTGGCATACAACCAACCTCTTTCATGTTTTTAAACAACTTGACGGCTTCACTGAGTATACCTTTTCCACAAAATCCAGTAATCATTGTATTGTACGTCTTTACGTTCGGTTCAATCCCTTTATCCGAAAGTTTATTAAACAATCCGAGTGCCTCATCAACCATGTCAGCCTTGCACAAGCCATTCATCATAATACTATGAACAAATATATTGAGGTCAATCCCACTCGTTTCCAACTCGCAATACAATACAAGCGCCTCGTCCAGTTTTCCATTCTTACAAAGTCCATCAAGCACTACTGTGCAAGTTACAAGATCAGGATCCACACCCTGTCTCTGCATCTCTAAAAAGAGTTTATGGGCGACATTGTCTTTGCCCGCTCGGAAAAAACCTTGTATGAGAGTGTTGTAAGTACGTGTATCACCGACCAACCCTCTTCGAGACATCTCATGAAAGAGTTTCATACCCTCGTCAACCTTATTACACTTGCAATAACCATTTATCAGACAATTAAAAGTCACTGCATTTGGATAGCATCCTCTGTTGATCATAAAATCGATCATTCGTCTCGCCTCGTCAAGGCGATTCTTCATGCACAACCCATCGATCAATGAAGTATATGTATGAGTATTCGGAACTAAACCTCTTCGGATCATCTCTTCGCACAGTTCTTTGGCCTCCAAAAACTTTCCCTCTTTAACGAACGCATCGATCAATATATTGAAAGTGACAACATTAGGGAAGATTTTTCTTTTGGCCATATCATTCAACAATCGGACAGCATCGTTCCATCTGTCAAAAACGCAAAGGCCTTTTATCAAACAACTGTAGGTGACAACATCTGGAGCAATCCCTTTGCTGTCCATCATTTCGAAAAGGTTCAATGCATCATCTATGTGTCCATCTTTGCAAAGACCATCAATGATCATACTGTAAATTTTGACATCCACCTCAATGTTCTTTTCCTCCATCTTCATGAGCAGATTCAATGCCAAAGCAGAATCCCCCGACTTGCAAATACCATTGACAACAGCGCCATAAGTAACTACATTTGGTTGATACCCCAACTTTAACATCCGATCAACTACGCTCACAGCTTCAGAAACTCTCCCCTCTCGACAAAGTCCGTTGACCAAAGTGGTAAATGTCACAACATCAGGTTTGTACCCCTCGTATACCATTTGGTCAAACCAACTTAACGCCACAGAAAGCTTCTTTTGGATACAAAATCCATTGATCAGGGTAGTGAATATGACTACGTTAGGCTCGTAACCCCTTTTTATGATTTTCCCCAAAACCGAAAGGCCCAAAACCACTTGTCCTGAGCGGCAGAATGCGTTGATGAGAATACTCAAAGTGTAGTCGTCATGTGAAACCCGGAGCAATTCCATTCTCTTGCAGAGAGAAATCACAACATCATACTGTTTCATTTTGGCGATTGCAGCCAGTAATTTATTAAAATCGACAATGGAAGGCAAGGGACGAGACCGAACCATGTGGTCGAACAAAGCGACAGCCTCATCTACATTACTACAACCATGAAACCCAAATCTCAATCTGTCTCTGTAGTCAACACCAGAAGAAGCCAGTCTCCGACAACTTAAAACATAGGAACGATCTGAGAAAGTGTTAAGAGTACCTCTTCGAAGGCGTTGATGAGTCTGAACCAAACTGGAAGCAGAAGCCGATGTGAAAGCGGCCATAGTCCGGACCATTCTCGACATCTCAGCTTCAATTCGTAGACGGAATGAGAAATCGGGTAGATTGCAATTTCGGCTTCTTCTGTAAAACCCTGGGTGGAAGCGGCGGTCACAGCGAAAACTCTTGAAACATATTTTTTTTTTGTCGATCATTTTGATGACAAATATTTATAAATATAATTAGATAAAATATAGAGAAATCCAATTACAGGGCAACGGCCAAATTAGGAGAATTGTAGATTGAATCTATAAAAACTATATATACTTTTTCTAAAACTAAATTAATCAAAATCAAAATTAATAAAAATTTCCTGAAAAAACGAATATAAAAATATTTGTTTGGTAAAAAAACATAAAAATAGTCTTTAAAAAAGCCGTTTTTTTTCTGAAAATTGGATCCTTATAAAACGCAAATCGATATTTAAAAATACAAACAAACATATACTCAATATATGAAATCATAAATAAACAAACGTTATGGGAAATTGAAATGATAATTCCAAACTTAAGCCTTAAATCTGTGTTAAAGAGAGAAGTGAACAATGCGAGACTATACATATATATATATATAAGGACGGATTGTAAAAGTCGTGTTGGGTTTCATAGATTTGGGCTTCGGAAAGGATGGGAGATTATCAATTTCCAAACCTATTGGAAAAGCATCAATTTCTCCTTATATATTATAATTGGAAGTATGCCTTTATGAAGCCAACTTCTCCACTTCAGACATTAAGAAGCCTAAGCAAGAACACTTTGCTTATAAAAAGCAATTTGACATAAAACAACGAATATATATATTTCTTTCTAAAATCAGAATTATGAAATCTGATAATATGACCGTTCCAAGTTTAAACCAGTAAATTTGTTCAACTGTTTAGTTTAGATATGTAAGAACCTTAAACGTGAACATGTTACATAGCATCAGAGTACAGGTCCAGAAAATTTTTAAGCAGTAACCGACGGAAAACAGAAGAAACCATAAACCCACAAATCAACGCCAATCTCTCCAATTCAGACATTAAGAAACCTTTAGCAAGAACACTTCCAGCAACTCATAACCTTCTCGTTCACCAGCCAGCAATCTCCACAATTGAATTTAAAAAGAAGAAACTGCTAGGATCAAGGCCACGGTGCATTTAACGTCCAAACTAAAACCCATCATGTAAATATATTAGTCCTGAGATGCACATTTTGATATCTCGACCATTATGTGAATTACGCAGAATATGTCGAGCGATGAAACTTTAAACAGCTAAACAAACCTAAATCCAGAACAAAAGAACACACCTCATTGTCACACAACTTCCATGACCGAAAGCAAGCTCCGCGTTACAGCTCACCGAGAAAGAAGATCCAAAAAACTTTTCTCCAATCTCCCGTCCAATAACATATCAACAACAATTTCCATTGTTGAAACATCCGAAGAAAAACCGTGGCTTCCCATTTCTCGAATCAGCTCGATAACTGGTGTTACATGGCAACTTTTGAGATGACCTCGGATCAGTACATTATACGTACAATCATCCGGCATACAACCAACCTCTTTCATGTTTTTAAAGAGCTTGTCGGCTTCACCGAGTATACCTTTTCCACAAAATCCAGTAATCATTGTATTGTACATCTTTACGTCCGGATCAACCCCTTTATCTAAAAGTTTACTAAACAATCCGAATGCCTTATCAACCATGTCAGCCTTGCACAAACCATTCATCATAACACTATGGACAAAGATATCGAGGTCAATCCCACTCGTTTCCAACTTGCAATACAATCCAAGCGCCTCGTCCAACTTTCCATTCTTACAAAGACCATCAAGCAGTAACGTGCAAGTTACAAGACCAGGATCCACACCCTGTATCTGCATCTCTAAAAATGAGGATTTATATAAATTAAAATCTTAATACTTATGAACCGATTAAAATATCATAACTAATCATATGAGATTTTTCAGAATTCTACAAATAACGCATCTCTTATATAGAAAAAAAAAACTGACAGGTTGTAAGTTTGTTTTGCTTTGGAATTTTACAATGCAAAACAGGACATGTGTGGCCTATGCTGTCGAGGTCACTGGACTCAGGCTTGAGGCGTTGGCAAACTCTCAGAGGAATTGGGGAAAGTTCAATCACTGCCTTAAGAGGGATTTTCTTCAGTTGGATCAACTGCCTAAGAGATTTTTGAACTGCACCACCAGAAAGGGGAAATACTATCAGATGCAATAGTGAGCATAATCAATTGCAGAAGAGAAAGTTAGAAACCACTAAAAACAATCGGATAACTCTACTCTTTGTGCAGAAGCCAACCAAAAAGAGATAAACTATGCATTAGCTCTGGCCAATTTTAGACAAAAACATCATCCAAAAGACAGCAGAGATACCAAACACATCAACTACCCAAAAGAGCTCAGCTATGTGTTACCTTTCTAGAATAAACAAGAACTCAGCTACGACCAATTTACCATAACTGTTTTCAATGTTTCCAGGCATTGCAAAGGATGGCAGATGATATGCACAGCTGACCCGATATGAAAATATCCATAGACCCACAAACTGAGAGTTGTATCAATGTGGTTCTGATGTAAATTTAAACAGCTAAAAAGTCCTAAACTCAGAACATAAAAAGAACTCACCTCGTTGTCCCACGACTTCCATGACTGAAAGCAACCTCCACGTTACAGCTCATCGAGAAAGAAGAACCAAAAAACTTTTCTCCAATCTCCCGTCCGATAGCATATCAACAACCATTTCCATTGTTGAAACATCTGAAGAAAAACCGCAGCTTCTCATTTCCCGAATGAGCTCGATAACAGTTACTACATGGCCATCTTTGAGATGACCTCGGATCAGTACATTATACGTACAATCATCTGGCATACAACCAACCTCTTTCATGTTTTTAAACAACTTGACGGCTTCACTGAGCAAACTTTTTCCACAAAATCCAGTAATCATTGTAGTGTAGGTTTTTACATCCGGATCAACCCCTTTATCAGAAAGTTTATTAAACAATCTGAGTGCCTCATCAACCATGTCAGCCTTGCACAAGCCATGCATCATAACACTATGGACAAAGATATCGAGGTCAATCCCACTCGTTTCCAACTCGCAATATAGTTCAAGTGCCTCGTCCAGTTTTCCATTCTTACAAAGACCATCAAGCATTATTGTGTAAGTTACAAGATCAAGATCCACACCCTGACTCTGCATCTCTAAAAAGAGTTTATAGGCGACCTTAGCATTGCCCGCTCGGAAAAATCCTTGTATGAGAGTGTTGTGAGTACATGTATCACCGACCAACCCTCTTCGAGACATTTCATGAAAGAGCTTCATACCCTCGTCAACCTTATTACACTTGCAGTAACCATTTATAAGACAATTAAAAGTCACTGCATTTGGATAGCATCCTTTGTTGATCATAGAATCGATCATTTGTCTCGCCTCATCAAGGCGATTTTGCATACACAACCCATCGATCAGTGTATTATAAGTAATAGTATCCGGAACTAAACCTCTTCGAATTATCTCTTCACACAATTCTTTAGCCTCCAGAAACTTCCCCTCTTTAACAAATGCATCGATCAATATATTGAAAGTGACAACATTAGAGAAGATTTTTCTTTTGGCCATATCATTCAACAAAAGGACAGCATCGTTCCATCTGTTGAAAACGCAAAGGCCGTTTATCAAACAATTGTAGGTGACAACATTTGGAGCAATCCCTTTGCTATCCATCTTTTCGAAAAGGCTCAATGCGACATCTATATGTCCACCTTTGCAAAGACCATCAATGATCGTATTATACATTATGACATCCACCTCAATGTTCTTCTCCTCCATCCTCATGAGCAGATTCAAGGCCAAAGCAGAATCCCCCGACTTGCAAATCCCATTGACAACAGCGCCATAAGTAACTACATTTGGTTGATACCCCATCTTTAACATCTTATCAACTAAACTCACGGCTTCAGAGACTCTCCCCTCCCGACAAAGTCCATTGACCAAAGTGTTATATGTCACAACATCAGGTTTATATCCCTCTTGTACCATTTGGTCAACCCAACTTAACGCCACAGAAAGCTTCTTTTGGATACAAAATCCATTGATCAGGGTAGTGAATGTGACCACGTCAGGCTCGTAACCCAGTTTTAGGATTTTCCCCAAGACCGAAAGGCCCAAAACCACTTGTCCTGAGCGGCAGAAAGAGTTGACGAGAATACTCAAAGTGTAGTCGTCATGTGGAACACGTAGCAATTCCATTCTCTTGCAAAGAGAAATCACAACATCATACCGTTTCATTTTGGCGATTGCAGCCAATAATTTACTAAAATCGACAATGGAAGGTAAGGGACGAGTCCCAACCATCTGGTCGAACAAAGCGACAGCCTCATCGACATTACAATCATGAAACCCTAATCTCAATCTGTCTCTGTAGCCTCCAACACCAGAAGAAGTCAATCTCCGACAACTTAAAACAGAGGAACGATCTGAGAAAGCGTTAAGAGTACCTCTCCCCAGGCGATGATGAGTCTCAACCAAGCTGGAAGCAGAAGCCAACATGAAAGCAGCCGTTCTCCTGACCATTCTCGACATCTTAGCTTCCATCCTTAGACGGAATGAGAAATCGGACAGATTGCGATTCGGCTTCTTCTATAAACCCTCGATGGAAGCGGCAGACACAGTAAAAATTCTTGATGGAGAAAAGCAGATTCTTCCTCTTTCATTTGTTTTTTAAATTTATTTATGTCTGCTTATTACATGCGACTGAAAAGGAAAAAAATTATCTATTTCAAATTTTTTAAGCAAATATGGTTAAAGATAATTTGCGGAAGATTTTGGATAAATAAATACCGTAAAAAATATGAAAAAATTATTGAATTTTGAAAGTTAAAAAGTATTATGAAGCTGTTTTAGATTTTCACATTAATAATTTCCGCTTTGTACCAAAATTTCAACGGAATTTTACTGATGTTAGATAATTTAATCAGTTTAGGTCAATTTTTTTTCCAATATAATTTTTTTTTATAAACATCCGTATAATTCGAATGATTACAATTAAAATTAGATAAAATATGAAAATCTGGTTTGGTATTTATATTATGGGCAAACATTCTAATAATTTAATCAAATGAATGAAATAATAATACACAATCCACAATCGCATCCAAATCAAATCCTATAAAAAAATATCGATTGGAATATAAGTTTTCTAAAGCTAAATTAATTTGACTCAAGCCCAATATAAGAACAAATGAGAAACGAATGGGGCTACTTCTACTTCAAGACCTACCCTGGTCACATGTGACCAATGTGACCGAAATATAGTATGGTCACATTTTGATTTTTATCGATTATAACGTTAAATTTATGGTACTCACACTAATTCATTATGTTCATACCTTGTATATCTTACTAATCATTTGATTAAAACATCATAAATTTAACGTTATGAACAATGAGATCAATATGTGACCACACTATATTTCGGTCACATTGGTCACATGGTCACAAGGGTAGGTGTAGAAATAGTTTTAGCAAATGGAGGGTATTTTGGATAATATCCCAAACGAATGATATCAAATCTTTATAAAATAAACATTTTTAGATAAAACTGAACCTAATCGAAAAGAAATAATTACCTTGACAAGATTTTCCTTTTTACCGTATCACCGAACCATTTACAATAAATAAGAAGATCATTTATCAAAAGAAATAATTCAACAACAACAACAAAAGAAATAATTACAAAAAAAAAATGCAATCCTTTCGTTATCCATTTGTCCGATAGAATTAGAGATTTTTTTAAAAAAATTATTTTCAGGAAAACAGAAAATTTCTTGTATCCTTCTCGTGTTATGTTTTTTATTCTTTCTTGGATTTTGTGTTTGAAAAATGATTATTAAAAACAATTAGCACAGAAATAACACCTTCCAAAATCCATTGGTTAAGTCCCTAGTTTCATATTTTAGATATTTTGCATATCTATAAATATTTGAATTTTAATAATTTATATCAAAATAAAATATATATAGGTATCATATATTTATTATTTAATTCCATCTGAATTATTAATTTAAATAGAATTCATATAAAATTTAAATTTTAGAGTGCCTGCAACAATTCTTGAAAAAAAACCATCGATCCACGAATTATAAGTAATCAGAAACCAGAACAAAACCTCTCCTTTTTTTGTGTGTGTTTCATGAGATGCGTTTACGTTGGCAAGTACGATCAATGTTCGGTACCTTCCGTACACAAGTGACTCACAGAACAACCACAAAAGTCTTAGTTCTGAGATACCGATTTTGATATTTCGACCTAGGGGTGTGAAACCGCTCCGTTCGGGTCGACCCAGCCCGAGCCCGAGACCGAGACAAGTCCGAGGATTTACGGACTAGCCCTAAACATAAATGGGTCTAAAATCTCTGACCCAAAACTCGGCACTATGGACTTTTGTGTAGGGCCATGTTTCGAATTTGAACATTTAAAAAAAAAAATTCAACCGAAAAATCCTTGAACCCAAACACCACCTAACCAGAATCCCATCTAAACCGGGCACGACCAGACCAAAAACAAAAACCAAAAAAAAAAATACAAAGGAAAAGAATAAGGGGACCCACTGGTATAGCCTTTTTTTTTGTCTTCCAATCCTTTTGAGGCCCCATTGGCAATAAAACGTTTGAGAGCATATAATATCATCAGAAAAGCAAAGGTCAGGGTTCTAGGCAAAGTAACAAAACATGAGTGGCTCTCTTTTCTTATCCCCTACGAGACACACACACATTTCTCATTCTGCATTTCACATATATATGTATATATATGTGTATATATATCAGCATTACCCTTACCCTCACCATGATATCAAGAACAAGAAGCAGCCAATGGAAAAGCCTGAACAACGATCGATAGAACCGTGGAAACAAGAACTGGAGATTCCCGAGCTCTTGCTATGTAACGAAGGAGTGAAGAAAGTGCATAAGAGTATTCAGAATGAGTGGGATTACCTCCAACAGTCGGCTTGCCAAACCGCTGCAGGGAGGGCCCTGTGGAAGCACGTGATCCACGACCCCCTCGCCCATTTGTTTGCGGGCGAGACCCATTTGCGTAACCTTCACGAGAAGATCAAGAAAGATTTGCTCAGCAATGCCCGAGAAGTCTCCGGGGTGATTCTCGCCATCCGGACCCTCTGGTTCGACTCGGGGATTCAAGCTGCTCTCCAGTCCTTCCATGGCGGAGCAGCTCAAGTTGTTCTTCTCGGTGCAGGTTGGTTTTCTACTCATCCCATCACTGTGCCACTTAAAAAAATATGGATAGCTTGTAACACCAAATGCAATGCATATAATTAATTTATGTCATATTCATATGGGTCCTATTATTTTCTACTCCACGCACTTGACTCTATCCGTCGACCCAAAAACTGATATGATAATTATGAATCATATCATATTTACATATGTATGTGCGGTTATTATGCTTTGCATGGAAGCATGGATGAAGATATAGCGCCTGCCATTTTATAGAGAGCAGAGTCTTCACATCTCATTAGAAACTAAAGAAAAGAAGAACTAACATAAACATCTATAGCATCCAAAACGAGCCATAAGATATCCAATATTAAAGAAAACTGCATAATTGGTTAATCAAATATACTGGGATGTTGAATTGGTTCTACAGGAATTCAGAGAGAAACCAAACTAATTTCCATGAACGACTATAATTTTAGAGATACCTACGTATGGCTTTCTTAGTGCCTGCCTCAATTCTTCTCCTCTTAAAAAAATCGCTAATTGGAGAAAAATGATAGAATTTCTGAAAGGATGCCAACATAGGGGAAGCTTTAGCATTTGCTACTGTATTTATCTCTTTGAACAAAAGATGTATATGAGAGAGGTTTGGGGCTTATCGATGCTGATAAAAACGTGTAACCTGATTTCAGGGATGGATGCGAGATCATACCGACTAACCTGCTTGAGCGAAAGTGACGTCTTCGAAGTGGACTTTGCGGATGTCTTGCAAGCCAAAACAACTCTAATCGAAGCTGCAATGAATTCCAAAGATCAGATTAGGATGACAGCTAAATCCCTCGTCAGAGTGGTAGCCGATATCAGAGAAAGTGACTGGTTTGAAAAGCTTCAGTTATCAGGTTTTGAGCCAGAGAAGAACACAATATGGGTTCTAGAGGGTATACTCTATTACCTGTCACACACCCAGGCCATGCAAGTGCTGAAGCTCGTGGCCGAGAAATGTGGGCTGACTAACACGGTTCTTCTAGCCGATTTTATGAACAAACCATCAGCCACACTCCCCAACTCTGTGTTCCACTTTTACAGTGACTGGCCTGATCATCTCTTGCCATCTCTAGGATTTTCCCATGTCAGGCTTTCGCAAATCGGTGATCCAGATGCAAATTTCGGGCTGCTCCCTGATCCACTGAATCTGTTCAACAAGCTTCTTCGCTTGCCAAGGTCTGCTCAGACGCACCCAGATGATGGAACACCATGTTGCCGCTTGTATTTGGTGGAGGCTTCTGGTTCACCGGCTCAGATTATTCCTTAAGAGTATCATCTGAGCATGAATGCTCAATCCAGAGATGCAACATGGCATGCTTTTGGAGAACAGTTCGGCTATAAACCTGCAGTTGCAACAATGATTTATGAGCCTTTTAGTCAGTAGTAATCACGAGGAAGGTGATCGACCATTCAATGATGTATAATTCTAAAACAATAGCTGGACGATATCGTTATCGGATACCACTGAAAAAATTATTACAATCCGCATAAGCTTTTTTCATTAATGAAGCCTCATCATCCCTTGTTTATAGTGGTTATAGCCAAAGCCCCGTTTTCCATATGCAACAATAGTACAAACAAACAGTGCATTTCAAATGTACTTTGAAAATATAGATATGATTAGATCAAAGAGATGTTCTCCAAGAATAGGCACCTGAAACAAAGCGTATGACTAAACCAATCTTATACTTTCAAAGCACATTAGAAATGCACTATTTAGATAATAAAGGACCAATCCAGTTCGAATCCCCACCTGGTGGGGTACCTTACCCCTGTTTTTTATACGGAGAGATCCATTTGAACCAGCGACACTATTTACTATTTAGATTATGCTAGTTTAATATCAAGTGAGAAGCTACATTTTTGAAACTTACACTTCCAACAGAAGCAATTTTAGGCTGTCTGGAAAGAAAAGTCGGAATGCGGAAAACAGAGAACATAGGCAGAAACAGGTTTCCATCATCTTCCTCATTGATCATCAGAGGAAAACTAACCTATATGAAGGGAAGTTAAAAATCAATGCCATATTTGCCAGCCCGCAGAAGGACCTCTGATAGTAGAGCGCCGAATGAACGGGCCCACATAAGAATTTCTGCATAATTCTTTGCTAATCCACCAAAAAAAAGACTTAAACCAGACGTTCTTCATCTATGAAAGTTAAACCCTAAAGCTAAAAGGGCAGAAAACTAATGCAGCATTCATCAGTATCACATCAGAGCATGGTAAAGTCCACCTGACAAGATCATTTAGCGTATTCTTGGCTTCCAATTTGAGAATAATAATATCAATGCTACACTATTATTCTCGTTTACCCAAACTGTATTCTAGTACACCGATTATGCGAGCAACATACATCCCACCTGAATGAAATTGTCACAGAAACATGAAAGTTACCATTTCCCCGCGTATGCATTGGACAGGAAAGGGAAGAGACAAAACCTCAAACTCCTGTTCTGGACTGAAAATCCGCCAGCCAATTTCAAATCTTCGGGATCTCTATCCGTCAAATCGGAGGGAATAAAACACGAATCGACCAACAAAGATGGAAGCGAACAAGAGATTGGAGTCAGAAAAAACCTCGTTGACTTCTTCTTCTTCTGCTCTTTCAGCCCACCCCTTCGGTCCCTCGCAAGGGTTTCCAGAAACAACATTGAACCCTGGAAAGCCTTCGGTCAGTTTCAGAATTTTGCCGGCAGATTCCGAGGGTCAATTTCAGAAATCATTCTAGTGATTTTATGTTGACGCTAGAGAATAATGTTGCCTTTGGTGCCAACTGGGCACTTGAGAATATTGGAAAAATTAGCTCGTGATGAAACAAGTATTGAGGATTTGCAAGATGTGTTAAATAAATATCTGAATTTTTTATTTGATGTAATTGATAATAAATATTCTAAATTAATATTTCAATTAACAAAAAGTAATTAATTCATTTTTATGCTGATAATTAACTTGTGATTAAAACATCGTTGTTAGGATCGAATTTACAAGTTAGATATTCATTTAAAATATTTTAATATTTTATGTATCAATTTGGAATATTTTAGTATGAGCTAACAATTTAAGATTTAAAATATTTTAATATTTAAGATATTTGTGTTTGAATTCTTGAGGAAAAACAACGGAAAAAAGAGAATGAAATCGAACCGAGGGACCGGATATCTCTTCAAGGCGTGTAGACACTTTCCTAAAACCGTTATTCCGTCCGTTACGAGTAAGGACTACCGGAATACGATTCTGAGATACAATGAAGAGAAAAACGTTCTAGAATTACTCGTTCAAGAACGCACAGACAAGGAAACGTGAAGAAGAAGATGAACGAAAGCTTTCGGGAGAGTTTTTGCAAGAAACTTCCGAAAGTGCTCTCAAAATCTCTCAAAAATGGAATAGATCTCGTTCTCAACTTATTCTGACGTCTTTAGTATATAAACACCAAAGAACATCACCAAAAGTTGCAAAATCTGCAGTTATTATGCGAAGAATCGCATCAGTTCGTATATAACTGTCATGTTCCGAGTTACACTTGACACAACATGAAGTACTTCTCACAAACTTTTGACTCAGATCGAGTTCCACCTGACACGGGCCGTGTCAAATTTCTGTGCAACACGAATTTTTCCTCAGACAATCAACACGGTCCGAGTTAAATCTAACACGGACCGAGTTACATTTCTGTAAAGAAAATTTCGTTTTCGTCATGAAGACTGAGTTCTACTTCACCCGAGTTGAGGTATACCTCACTCACAAACCGAACAACTTTACTGCCAAACACTTATGTGTTTCACCGATCCATATTATATCATTTACGAACATTCAACTCCTCCACCATATCCGTAATACATATAACTATGAATCTCTTGAGAGATTATTAATAAACCCCATTCATTTACTCTAAAAATACCAACATGTACTTCACCAGGCCAACAGGACAATAAAAAAGAAAACACAATGGTAATACCAAAGTCCACCTTTCGATTGTTTCCCCCAAGAACGTCATCAAGATTTGGGCATAATCAAGCGCACTCTATGCCTATAAAGTCAGCATTAACCTTGCTAATTGTTTTTCAAGAGAGTTGGTGAGGAAATATCAAAGGAAGTTTGGGTTGAGTTCTTCGATTTGATCATGGCTTCTCACCTTAAGCAGACCATTTTAATGGTTATGGTAGTCACCGCCGCCATTATCACAACTTCTGCCCAAGAAACAGAAATTTCCGATTTCCAACAGGCTGAAATACTTAGACGCTTGCAACAACTTAATAAGCCTGCTGTTACATCTATCCAGGTCCGTACAATAATGTATTCCACAATGTGAAACCTAGCATAAGACTTGAAACCGTTGATGCTAACATTTTATCTTCAATATGTTTATATATGGACAGAGTCCAGATGGAGATATAATAGATTGTATCCCTATTACCAACCAGCCGGCGTTTGACCATCCTTTGCTGAGGAACCACATCATCCAGGTTTTCTAAAAGATTCAAACCAGTTTCTCCCTTTGGCCGGATTCTCCCGATATGTTTATAATTGTTTTTTTTTTTGTGAACTATTAGATGAGGCCAAGTTCCGAACCCGAAGGCGATCTTGCAGAAGAGGCCGAGGGAAAGCCGAAGGGTATACCTCAGCTATGGCACATGTACGGAGAGTGCCCGGAAAACACAGTTCCGGTCAGAAGAACAAAAGAAGAAGATCTCTTAAGATCAACTTCCCTCGAGAGTTTCGGGAAAAAGAGTTATAAAACCATCCAACAAGTTGTCTCAAGTGATTTAAGTGCATCCGTCCATGAGGTATATTCATATATATGCATTTGCAGTCATATTACTTCATCCTCATTTGATTTTTTTTTTTTTTTTGTGCTGATTTAGTACGGAGTAACGCAAGCATTGAACAACAGGGTTTACGGTTCGAAATCCTTCATCAATGTATGGAAACCCTTTGTCCAACAATCTAATGAGTTCAGCTTGGCCCAGACATGGGTTGTCTCCGGAAGTGGTTCTGATCTCAACACCATAGAAGCTGGTTGGCAGGTATTATTCTGAGTCGGCTGATATATCTCTCTTGTCTCGGTTCGTCTACTTACATTCTTTCTTCTTTTGCCTTCTGTATATGTATATATACAGGTCTATCAACAGTTGTACGGTGACTACAACACAAGACTTTTTATCTACTGGACAGTAAGTTTTGACTTTTGAGAGTTTAATTTATTATCTAGGGTTGTTTCTTACCGACATATGGATTCCTAAACCATAATCCTCTTTGGCCACTAACAAAATATTGGGAATTCAAAACAGCGAGATGCATACCAACACACAGGTTGCTACAATCTTCTGTGCTCAGCGTTTGTCCAGACGGACGGAACTTTCGTCCTTGGTGGAACCCTCAATCCAACATCATCGTATGGAGGTACCCAGTACGAAATCAGTTTACTCATATGGAGGGTAATGATCGGAATCTTTGGCCAATTAAACATTAAAATCTGACACATGAACATATACAACCATAACCGGATTCATTTTTAAATTTAGGACAAGAACACAGGAAACTGGTGGCTCCAAATTCAGGGAATAAACGTCGGGTACTGGCCAAACACGTTGTTCACCAGCCTGAAGGATAGCGCGAACCGAGTGGACTGGGGAGGCGAAATCGTGAACGCACAGTCTAGTGGACACACGAACACAGATATGGGAAGTGGGCGAATTTACCCAAAAAACGTTTTATAGAGAAACTGGTATATATATAGACCTCAAATTAGGTATATATATTTTTATAATATAACAATTTTTTATTAAATTATGGAGCATTATAATTTGACTGTTAACTCAAGAGTTTGAAAATAGAATATATATTTATAATACATTTTTGTATTGATAACATGCATTAAATTGGGGCATTATCAAAAATACCCTTAAAATGCTACTTCTACTTCAAGACCTACCCTGGTCACATGTGACCAATGTGACCGAAATATAGTATGGTCACATTTTGATTTTTATCGATTATAACGTTAAATTTATGGTGATCACACTAATTCATTATGTTCATACCTTGTATATCTTACTAATCATTTGATTAAAACATCATAAATTTAACGTTATGAACAATGAGATCAATATGTGACCACACTATATTTCGGTCACATTGGTCACATGATCACAAGGGTAGGTCTTGAAGTAGAAGTAGCATTTTAAGGGTATTTTTGAGATAATGCCCATTAAATTATGGGACATTAAAATGATAGTTCGATTCTAATACACTTATCTTTTTTTATACTTATCTTTTTTTATTAATATATAATTTGCCGACTAAAATTGTACACTGCTTGATAAATATTCACATAAGATGCATCAAGTGTGTTTACTAATTTGTATTAAAAAAAGGATTTGGATCCGTATTATCACTTATATAGAAAACAGATAGTTTCGTACATTTATACATTTAATAGAGTGATTTGCACCAATATATATATATGATGAATACTCGTATAAGATAAATCAAGGGTCCTTGCTTTTTTTACCATAAAAAATATGGATGTGAATCCCAATTATTGTTTTCCATATATTTTATTCTTGTTATAGAAAATTGTTTTTAAAGATTTATACATTTAATACTGAGATTAGTTTCACTTTCACAACAAAGCTTTTTTCATATAAAATTCCATTGTGTACATGTGTGCATATAAATGACGAATATTCATATAAGGTTTATAGAAGGCACTTACGTTTTTGTAAATAAATATTTGGATTTAATTCTTTTATTGTTTTCCACAAGTCATATTTCTTATAGGTAAAACAAATTTTGATTATTTACTCATTTAATAGTCCGATTTGTTTCACTATTTAGTGTTTTAATATAAAATTCCATACTGTATATATAGAGACAGCCAAGCCTGTGACAATTATATTCTAAAGTCGTGTGAGCATCGTTAGCTTTTTGATATAATGATGAATAATCAGACATGCAGTTTTATGCTGACAGTGATAATAGCAAGTGTAATTGTTGGTTCTGTAGGAAAACGCAAACTCTCCGAAACCGATATTCAAAGACTATTGAAGCAACGCAACAAGTCTCCCGTCAAGTCGAATCTGCACAATTTTGGCCAAACTGGGTCTTTCTGACTCTATCCAACTGACTCGACCTGGTTGACTCGAGCATGTTGACTCAGCCTCTTCATAGCAGGCTTGGACTCAACCCATCTTCAGCATGTGATTCGGTCCACTCTCCAGGGTTGACTCAGGACGAGTCAAAACGGATAAATCTGATGCACTTCATCCTTTTAACTCCAGGTTGCTCTCGTTTTGGTCCGAGTATCATCTAAAATTTGTAATCCTATAAAAACACAACAAAACCGAGTTTTGGTGGCCTAATGCATCTAGAAAGCCTACAAATGCATGTGATTTTCTTATAACTCCTATGAAAACGTATTGGAAATATAGACAAAAATATGAGTTATCAACAACTAAAATCACAATTTTAAAATTTTGATTTTTGCGGGATTTTAAAATTATGATTTATTCAAATAACACAACGGAATATATATATATATACATCAAATCCACATATATATATACACACACTCCAAATGATAGTAACAAAAAACTGAAATACAAATCATTAAAAAGTTTACCACCATTATTTCTAAAATATCTGAATAAATGTTAGTGTACAAAATATACATGATACAACTATAGAGGAATAACTGCATAGGCCACCGCATCCACGATCATCCGAACGCCGCTCATCTCCTGAAAAACATTGCGTAACAATTTTCTAAGCTACGTGTTTAGTGAGTGACTCAGGTACTACCCAGATATCTCACTCGAAACCGATAAGTCAACGTCAAAATAAAATAATAGTAAAAATATTCATCATGATATCACCTAACAACGATCAAACCATCACTCGTAATCAAATCCATATGACAAGTGTGACACCCGAAACCCGTATCCCGCAATACGAGTTGCGCCACATGGACAAGTAAAATAAAAATTGCATTTCCAAAAATCCGCGAGAATTTAAAACTTTTCCTATTCAGAGTATAGCGGAAGAAACACTCGTACATACATATATGATACATTATTTCCAGTTATAATTACACATAATCGAGTGGTAGTAGTCAAATTATTACAAATCTCAAAGTCTACCACCGATATATTCAAAACGTTCCCCAAAATATAAATGTATCAAAATACGTAATTATACATGATCTGTAGATGTGCTCTGCCCAGGTCTCCGATGTCCGCTCCTCGACTACTACTGCTGCTCACGACCTGAAACGTTGCGTAACAACGTCCTAAGCTAATTGCTTAGAGAGTGAACTCGGGCGTAACCCGGAGTTCCATTCTCATGGTGCCAGGGAAAGCACAAACATATATATATATATGTGTGTATATACTAGTATTCTAATAAACAGGAATTGAAAACATGAATCACTGTAAGCACGCAGCAATCACAATCAAGTCCGTACGACAAGTCGGCCGTACGACAAGTCGCAGGACAGAGTCCGTCAAATCGTCTCTACGCGCACCATGCGTAGGTA